GCCCCCCCCAGCAGGTCCCACTGAGGGCCAGGCTTAGCTGGGAAGATGATCTGGGAGCAGCCGGGCTCTCCATGCTGACGCCGGCGGGGATGCGGAGCAGCTGCTTTGGCAGCCATTTGCACCAGCTCCTATTAACGGTGTGAGCAGCCCAGGAGGTGTAACAGGATCGCTCCCCTCTCCCAGCCCTCCCTCCCCTCGCCCCCCTGGCTCTGGCAGCGTCCCAGGAGCGGGGTCAGCGCAGGGCGATGCAGACGTGACCCCAAGCTGCTGCCAGCGGCTCTCCATGGCCCCTGGCTCACACAGGGATGGGTCCCCAGATAAAGGCTGGTCCCTGCGAGGGGATTTTGCCTCTTGTTCTGCTTTCGCAGGTGGAGCCATGTGGCCAGCGGGGGCTTAGTGATGGGCCGTGGGCTGGGAAACGGCTGGAGGATGCTGCGAGGCAGGGGGGGAGCTTGGAGGAAGCAACAACGGCCCTGCCCAGCTGCTACAGGAACAGAAGGCAAGGGTTAAATAAGCGTGGTCCTGGCCAGATCTTCCAAGCCTTGCCCTCCCATGATGGCTCCGCAGCGCCCGTATCCAGCCCAAATCCTGCCGCGGGGTCAGAGCCATGCTGCAGCACAGCCCCATGAGCACCTCGGGCATCCCCAGCACTGGGAGCGGGGAAACGCCAGGCTGCAGAGCCACCCCCAGGGACGGGCACAGCTACAGACAAACCCAGAACCAGAGCAACGCTAAGGAGCCAAACCGTGGGGAAAGGATACGCAGGGAGCTCCCATCTCAGAGAGAAGCACCGGCTCCCAAGCTGCGAGGGCAAACTCGGGGGCGAGTGGGACGAGGGCGAGTGGGGAGGCAGGCACGAGCCTCTACCGACAGCCACACTCCTCTGCCACCATGTTGGGGAACTTGCGGACCTCCAGCCCCTCCGTGGAGAGGCTGATGATGAGCTGGTCTGAGTAGCGGACGGGCACGCAGCAGGGAGCCCGCTGGAGGGGCGAGCCCCGCTCCTGCATGCCCAGCAGGAGCACCGTGTGCGAGTAGTAGCTGGCGACACGGGTGGAGAGGGGCAGCTTGCAGGGACCCTCACAGTTGTTGGCCGTGTAGACGGTGGGCATGACGATGAACTTGCGGTCGTGCAGGTCGATGGTCAGCTCCTGCAGGCGGCAGTGGGCCTGGTGCCGCGCGCTGCGGTTCTGCCGCAGCACCTTCCTCCGCTCCTGCCAACGTGCCCGCACCGTCTGCAACGCCTTCAGCAGCAGCAGCGCGTGCAGCTTCCCGGAGCCGGGTGGCCGCTTGCCAGCTTGACCCTCACCCGGCCCCGGCGGGTAGTAGCAGAAGCTCAGGAGATGCTGGAAAAGCCCCGTGTTGGCTTGGAAAGCAGGGATGTCCTTCAGCTCCTGGATCACAGCCTGCAGCTTGCCCATCAGCAGCTGCAGCACGGTCCCCTCCGGCTGCCAGCCCCCCAGGTGCTGCTCCAGCACGGCTCCGCTGTCCTGGGGGAAGAGCAGCACCGAGGGCTCCTCCGACTGCACCAGTCGCTCCAGCGCCGCCTCCTCCGACAGGTTGAGCAGCTGGTGAGGGAGGGTCTCCATCACCTGGAAGTCCAGCCAGTGGTGGGAGCTGGGCTGGGTGGGCGGCTCACTGGAGGAGCTCAGGACCTGGCGGATGAACTGGGTCAGGATGCCCAGGAACTGACTGCTGCTGCCAGGTGCCGGGGATGAAGTGTTGGCTTGGCTCGGGGCAGTGGGGGACGGCAGCTCCTGGGTCCCAGCCTGGGGTGGGCTGCGAGGAGAACACAGGGAGGGTCACGGGGACCCCTTGTACCCCGGGGGTCCTGCCAGGCCCTGCCCCACATCATCCCACCGCAGTCCCACAGCAAAAAGACTGGGGCTCTGGGGCTGCCCCTTTCTCCCCCCAGCTCCCAGCCCCTGTGTTTTTCCATGGCTGCGAACCTGAGCTGTGGGTACGGAGCCACATCCACCACCCCGTCGGCAGAGAGGTAGGAAGAAGGGGCCAAAGCCACCTCCTCCTCCTCCTGCCGTGACTTGGCCAGCAGGAGCAGCACGGGGGTCATCCTGGTGAAGCACTTGTCATCAGAGCCAAAAAGGAGCTGCTGGGTCTCCGTTGGGGGCAAGGAGGCACCTGGTGGGGAGAGGAGCAGGTGAGGATGGTGGTCCGGGGTCTCCCACACAGCCCCTCTTTACAGACAGGTTTGAGAGGATCCCAAACACCCAAGTCAGGACTCAGAGGACACAGACATCACCGTCCCCCACCGCCATGGGCTTCCCACGTCCCTACCTCCCTCTCCGCGATGCCTGATCGCCAGGGAAGCCTCGAAGGTGAGCTGCTCGCTGGTGCGGGTGACGGATGCTACGGCGGCTCCCAGGGCCAGGTACTGGGTGTCCCTGGCGAGGCAGAGGCTCTGCACGGAGGCAAAAGACACAGGAGCGCCAAGGACGTGGGTGAGACATCACGGGGGGAGCAAGCAAATGAGCCCCCTGCTGTGGTCCCTGCTGGCTCCGGGCCACCCAGCCCACGGTGGCCCAGGGAGCAGCGAAATGGGAGGGTCGGGACCACCGGGAGCAGAGTGGGCGGGGGGGCTTGGCCACCCAGCGCCCCCGGCCAGGCCGGAGCCCCGGGGCCGGTGGGGAGCCAGGACCCCGGGCGGGGCTGGGGACCCCGGGCCGCCCCGCTGCCCTTGCCCGGAGCCGGGGACAGGGCAACAGCACCATCTTCAGGCACGGCTCGGCCCCGGCGGGAGGGTGCGACAGGGCAGGGATGCTGGGAGGGGATGGCAAAGGGACTGGGAGAGGATGGCAAAGGGACTGGGAGGGGACGGCAAAGGGACTGGGAGAGTACGGCAAAGAGACTGGGAGGGGATGGCAAAGGGACTGGGAAAGGACGGCAAAGGACTGGAGAGGACAGCAAAGGGACTGGGGCCGCCCACCTGCTCCCGCGCCAGCCCGGTGCCGGTGGCCAGCAGCTCCTCTCGGCGCCCGGCGCCCGGCTCCTCTCGGCTGCCCAGGTAGAAGAGCAGCAAGGCGAACCGCAGCTCTCCCAGCGACCGGCCCACCTCCGCCTGGAAAACCAGCTTGAACCACAGCTTCACCTGGGCTTCCCACTTCACTGGAAAGGAGAAGACAGAGGGGGTGAATCGCCCCTCCAGCGGCCGCGGGGCTCCTGGGGGTGATGGGTGAGGAAGGGGGTTCGGGGCCGAGCACCAGTCCCACACGGTGGCTGGAGCATCTGGGACAGGAGCCGACAGGGTGGAGGGACGCGGCAAATCCCCTTCCCCGGTTTCAGGGAGGGAAGCGGGGGGCTGCCTCGCTCCCAGAGCGGCTCTGGCAAATTCTCATGGTCAGATCCTCATGGAAATCTCTCCTCCCATGGCAGCTCCTCCGGTGGCTCGGGGACATTGCGGCCGTTGCGTTGCAGCCAGCAGCACTGCCTGGGGAAGAGCCGCTTCCCCAGCTGCCCGGCACTCACGAGTTCAGCTGAAAATCCAAAATCCAGGAGGGAAGGAAGAGATTTCAAGAAGAGAGAAACAACCATGACTTGCTATGTGGGAGGCCAGATTAAAACCGCGGGTTGTGCTCCCCCTCTAACACAGTGCTTACCACTGGGACAGGACAGAGGAATGCGCGTTGCTGGTTTTCACATACGGCTCAAGCTGCACAAGCGCCCAGGACCCAGGGCTCCTCGGCAGCACCGAGCGTGAGAGGTCAGCACGTGCTGAGCCAACTGCGAGCCGCTGGGCTCACGCCGCAGCAGGACCAGCCAGGTCCGCTCGTCCGACCCTCTCCTCTCTTTTCCCAATCAGACAGAGTTGGGATGGGGTCCTAACCCACATCATTAAGGCAGAAAGTGAGAAACGTTTGTCATCTCGAAAGCGGAGCAGAAACCACCAAGACTGTGGCACCTGGGCGTTAGCCACAGGCAGGGACAAGGCACTGTTGCACACAAGCTATCATCACTCCTAAAGCTTCTTCAAAATGTACCCAGAAAGACATTTTCACTGCTTTTAAAAGGAACCCAACCCCACTAATTTAATTCTGTGTTTAAATCTCTGATTTAGGGCAAGCAAACAGCATCAGCCTCCCCGAGCCTTGTGCCTGCCCCGCGCCGCTCAGTCTGAGCACAGGGATTTCCCACCAACCTTCCTCCAGATGCAGCACGAGGAAGCGGTCCTGCCCCGGCTCCACCACGTGCGCATGGATGTGCTTCAGGGGATGGAGAGCCGCGTCCGCCTCCCCGGCCGGGCAGAGCCCGAAGGTCTCGAGATAGCTTTTGTCCCAGCTGGTGCGTTGTCTCAGAAGCTTGATGAAGTTGCTTTCATAGTGGGTGAGAACACCCACAACTTCCAGGTGCCTCGGGGTCGGCCCGTCCTGGCCCATTTTCACCCTGCACACGGGCCCTTCCAGCCCCCCGAGCGGCCACGGGTGCAGGCTGGAGCCGGACCAGGCGATGCCCCCGTCCTCAGCCATCCCCTGGAGGCATTTTGCCCCTGGGTCAGGCTTAGAAAAGAGGCGAGTAGCAGCACTCATCCTCGATCTGGCCACCGAGCCGGCTCTCACTCTTTGCTGTAAACTTGCATTTTCTCTCTTTCTCGCCTCTGCTTCAAGTCCCAGCTCCTCCGGCAGGCTCAGCTCCAGCCGGTTAATTGGGGAAATCCTTTCCCCCGCGCTCCCCTTTCTCGGAAGCGCTGCAGAGGGGAGCAACAGCACCAGGCACGGCAAAAGCACCCTAAGAGCAGCCTTCATGTTCCCACTGCTGCCAAGGCAGTCGTTCGAGCCGCACACACACCTCTCAAAACACTTGGGCGGAAGGGGAGGACGGCGTCTCCCTTTTAAAAACCGGTGGCCTTGAGTTGACAATGCACAACGCACCTCCCTTGAGAAACTCAGAGGCTGTCAGGATAGAGAGGAGGGAGGGATGTTTCAAAGAAACTTTTTTGTTCTATTTTTGGGTTTGCATCTAGTATTGGAAACGTAAAAAAATTAAAGCTGTTTCTCTTACTCGTAGGGACGCACGTCCTTGACTTTAGATGTTTTCTAAAGGAGGATGGACGTCTCGGCTTGGATCTTCATGGGGACTGGCACATACCATTCCCATCAGCAGCGAAACACCGGGAGGGAAGAATTAGCCAGAGTCGGAGGAGGGGGATGGAGACAGATAATGGGCCGAAACTAAGTAAATGTATGGAAAACGTTCTCCTCTTCGCTGGAGAGCCTCCCCCTCGGCTGGTACCGCCACGCGGAGGCCGCCCCGCAGGGGCTCCTAACGCATCTCCTGAGCCCCAGGCTGCTTCAGCCTGTGAAGGAGAACCTCCCGGGGTGCAGCAGCAGCCTGGTGACTTTGAACACTTAAGAGTTGACTTCGAAAGTCTCACAACACACGTATCGTAAGGACTTCTCCCTCTCTAAGATGCTAATTCTCACTGTAACACTTGGAATTACCAATGGCACCTACCTAATCCGCCCCGGAGATACCCACCCAAGGTATCTCCTTTTTTTGGGAACGGAGAGCAGTGGGAAAGGTGCCTGCAAAAAAGGTTCCAACGCACGTTCAGAGCCTTCTCTGGCTTTCCAAGACTTGGCAGTTTGGAGTTCAGGATCTGGCTACAACACGACATAAACAGGCTGCGCACCCGAACCGGAGAGGGACAAAGGGCGCGACACCAAAGGGCTGGCGAAGGCGGACCTCTCTTCCGCCGGAGCTGTGACAAAGGACAGACGTCTGGCAAAGCGGACACCCACACAGGCCGATTCAGGCACGGGGCCAGCTCGGCTTGAGCCAAAGCGCTGCTAGCACGGCGGTAAAGCCAGCGAGGGTTGGACACACTCTGCCCGGCTCTGGCATTGGCACGGCTCCGGGTGGGAGCCGTGTCAGGCCAGCAGAAGAGGCGAAGGCTTTGATTCCCCCGTCAAAGGGGGACGCAGCTGCAGGGCTGCGGCCAGCACGGCCTCCCCCGCCGGCCGTGAAACGAGCCAGGCACCGGCCGAGAGCAAGCGCGGGTCAGGCAGCCCGGCCTCAGCGCTGCCTTTACCCACCGAGCACCCCGGCATCCCGCGCTGAGAGGGCCCGGTTCGGTGAAATCAATCCTGGAAAGGACAGAGAGGAGAAATCTCAGAACTTCAACTTTTTAATGGGAACCAAACGATTGTTTGAAGGAAACATTTGGTATAAATAAAACCACAGAGAACCAGGAGCTTGCCAGAGTTAGTCTACTAGTGGGAGGATATATACAACAAAACTCATACATGACAGCAGGTGCTTCGGAACAGTACAGACAACGTTCAATGAATTATAATAATAAACTAAGATTTAGTATCGCTGCAGCTTTGGTAATTTCTTTTGACTAAACATTCCCAGAGACCCCTGCCACCGCCACAGAGGAGAGAACCTGCGCTTTGTTTGGGAGCCCGTGTTTGGCACAAACGGTCCGGCGAGCAGCGGGTAGGAGCTAGGCAGCTGCGGGGCGGGGAAGGACGATTGCCTTTCCCAAGTTGCCAACGAAAGCTTGTGTCTGCGCTTTTCAAGGACTCCTGAGCAGCAGTCCAAACCCGTTTCCTCGGGAGGGATGTTTCCATGATTTAGCTGGCAGCACCTGAGCACTGGGAGGAGAAAGGAGGTTTCCGAACGCAGCGGGAGCAACGCTCATCTGATTGCAACGGTAATTCAGCAGGAAGAGAGAGAAAACGGCGTTTAGAAAATTCCGCTTGCCCTCCTTTCTGCCCACCACTGCCATTACTGGGGATGCAGGAACCGAATCCTTTCCGTGTGTCTCTAAGTCTCCCCATCACCGAATGAACGGCTTGATAAAGGACTTCAGTTGAATAGCAACTGATTAACTGGCTGGTAATTTATGGGACGCCCATCAAGCAGTCAAAGAGGGGGTAATGCATTCAGCCGACAGCTGAGCCGAGGTTGATGTAGCTACTTCAGTTGGAAGGAGGTGAGGTGCCTAGAGATTTCCAGTCCTTTGCCTCCCCTTTGGAGGATTTCCAAAACGTAACCAGACTGGGAATGGTTTAGATATCTAAGGGCTAAAGAAAGTGAACACACGGCAACATTTTTAACCAAGACGCAGGAAAACAGAGAGAAAGGAAAACTGAAAACCTTTTAATGAAACCTACAGGATTTAGTGACGTTCACGGGCATACAAAACAAATATTTCTCTGAATCAGTTGCGATCTGCATATAAAAAGGTAGGAGCTAGAGGAGTCCAGCAGGACTGAGTCCAGGAGGGCCCTCAGTTGGAGGGAGGCGGAGGGGGGATAGCGCCTGGCCCCTCCGTGGGGAGAGGTGGCCTCATCATGGGTGGCAGAGGAGCAGGGGGGGGTACGCCGGGTGCTGGCGGCAACTGGGGTGGCACTGGAGGCGGTGGCACTGGTCCAGAGGGAGGCATAGGAGGCAGAGTCATGCCTCCGGGAGGAGGCGGCGGCATGGAGTCCGGCAAAGGTGGCCGTGGGGGCAAGCCGTTCATCAGCGGAGGTGGAGGAGGCCGCTTCACAGTTGGGGGCCCTGGAGGGAGGTTTGGGGGAGCTGGGGGCTTCTCCATCTTGAAGTGGAATTGAAGGAAGAACTGGGGAGGGGAGAGGAGAAAAGCAAAGAGAAGGGAATAATTAATCCTCCGGACAACACTGTGCCATCACACAACACAGCTGCGCTCTGCCTCCAGGAACGCAGCTCCGACCTCTCCTGGCCTGCTGCCTCCCCAGACCGTGGCTGCCTTTCTACCCTGGCCGCGCTCGGGACTTGCGCCAGTCTCGCCCCATACAGCTCTGAGGCTCGTTCCAAGCGCTAAGCTGTCTGTGACGGGGTCGGTACCCCCCACTGCGCATTTGTCCCCTGCTCTCACGTGCGATACCCAGTGAGTACATCCACGCCACAGGCTGATCAGCTGCGTGCAGGAAACGCGCAGCAAGGAGCCACAGAGAGGGCACGATGCTGCACGGTTCTGCACCGTTCTGCTGCTGCTGACAGCAGCCGAGGACTCGACCTCCCAGGTCAAATTCTCACCAAGACCACACACAGGAAGATCTTTCTGTCAGGAGGTGTCGTGGCACAGTTGCATTGAAGGAATGAAGGTTTTGACATCAAAGCCAGCACGGATATCGCTGATGTGCCCTCTCCCTGCACTGCCTTTCCCCGCAAGCTGCTCTGCCCTCCTGCTCCCTCTTTAACCCCTAAGAAAGACGTTGCAGTGCCCCAGCTACCTGTTTGGTTTCCCTGTTCCAGTGGGTCCAAAACTTTCCTTCTGCTTTGTCGATTTCTCTGCTTGGCACCTGCAACAGAAAAGAACAAGGCGCTATTATTAGCACCACCAGATTAGCTCAATGGCCCTTTTTAGCACCAGAGCCTGCAAGATAAGCACAGTTATTCCAGGCCTTTGTGAGATGCGCTAGTCTCGGATGTTATTAGATAGAGATGGGGGCAGGAAAGAATTAAGTTACTTCCCTATCGGTCAAGGACAAGTGCGCTGGCAAAAAACCCTCTCTTAACATCTGCACAAAGGCTGAGGAGCAAAGCCCAGAAGGCTCCTTTCTGTGCCAGACACGGAGAATTCAATGGCTCCCCAGGGCTCAGCACACAGCCTAGTTTTCATGCCAGAGTCCTCCACTGATTCTCAGCAGGTTTAATGACTTCCAGTCATGTCTTCTTGACCCCCCTTTCCACTCCTTTAACCCCCTGAAGGCTAGAACAGAAGTCTATAATGATGCTGACTGGAAATTAGCGTCTTGGAAAACATGGGAAGGGAACTTTCCCAACAATCAGTTAATCCCAAATCTTACCTTGAAAGCTATGGTTTCATAGGGCTCCGCTGCCATCAAAAGGTATTGCCAGCGTCTATCGGGGGGCTCAATCCTTTGCTCGTAGGCTGACATGAACCGATGCCGAGGCATGATACTTTCTGCAATCTCCGGATAATCAATCTATCGGGGTGTTATTACAGCATTAAGGAGAGCATCCCCTTTTCACCCCCTCTTCGTACAAAACAAATCCCTCAGCTATGAAGCATATCAGCTCCAAACAGAAAACTTAGTGCCACCGAAGGAAAGAGCTTGACAACTGGGATCATGGATTTGCTTGACACAATCAGCAGCAGAGGACTAGCGAGGTAAGGCGTTCTTTTTTAAATTTAATTTCATGAACCCTACAAAGAACTGCTTATTTAGCAGCACTTTTACTTGGACAACCTGAACACCAAGAATTTTAACAGTGCCCTTACCTGGAAGAGAAGGCTTTGCTGGCCTGTTTCTGGATCTCTCTGTTTGGTCACTGTGAAGAAAGCAAGAAAGCTCAGTACATCACACAGCGGGGTTAGAGCAGCATTATTTCTACTCTAGGAAACACACAAAGTTTCCAACAACAAAGTATTACAAGATTTTTCTCCCATTTATCAAACAAAACGCCGCATTGTCTTTAACTGAAGCTACTAAGGATCTCTACTGAAATTCAGCTGCTGTGGGGCACAGACACTGTGCGCTGCAGAACAAAGCTGGGAGATAAAGAAGCCAAGTCGTGTACTGAAGGCCAAAACAAAACAATGGGGAGTTCAGAGAAAAAACTTGAACTACACATGCAATGAGTGATTTATGAGCATTAGTGAAAGATGGTACAGCACAATAAAAAGAGAGACTGAAACAATGTCATCATCTCCTGCATGACTCCTCATAAGAGCTGAAGGACTCAGGCATAGCAATGTATTATTGAAATGGTTCTCACTCGACTGTCAGCAATAAAGAGATGTTTCATGGGTAATTTAAACAATAAAGGACATCAGGAGATAAGCCCATATCTTATTCATGGACAGATCTGCTAAAAAGACTAATTAATAATTCACATCCACAGGACTGCACTTCAGGCAAGCTCCAGCAGGCATGAGGTATCTCCCACGACAGACACCCCGACAGACCTTTATAACCCGGTCGTCCAATTTTCACAAATTTCTTCACTTCCACTTTGACTTTTTCTGGTGCGGGCTGGGCAGGGGCTTCCTTAGCTTCCTTGGCAGCTCGACGGGCCCTGGATGAATTTGAAATGTGCCAAATTTAAAAGGTTAGCCACACTTCTTTCTAAAGAATACGCTAGGAGCAGTTTGAATCCCTCCCCACGGAATATTCAGCGCTTCACAAAAAGCACGCCAGGAAAACCTGCTATTTCTTTTCGACACGCACCACCACAGGCCAATTGTATCCATGCCTTCCCCTGACTAAAGGCTGTCGTCTCAACTATCTCATCCACCCCCAAGATGACCTTGGTGCCTGTCTCCACAGATGGATTTGAGAAGACTTACTTCTTGAAATAAAAAAGAAAAAAAACCCACAAAGCAGTCTGCTAAACCAAAGCAAGCTGGATTTCTTAAAATAAAACTTACAAACTTCTCCCAGCCTGGATTCGCAAAACCAGGTCCTTACACCTAGACTCAGACATTTTGCTTTTAAAACTCATTTTCCTCCTTCTTTCAGAAACCCCGCAACTGGCTTTGAACTTGAGCTCGAAATGGAGCTTGTCAGCCCCATGTTTTGGAGCAGACCTAGGCTGTACCTCCTGGCTAGTGCCAGGCTGATCACTAGAAAACACACACAGTGAAAGAACATTCAAGCACAGCGTGCTACTGTATAATGGGGTTCGAGATTTATAGATGCACATCATTTTAAAGTGCTTAGGGAACAGAGACTAACGTTACAGTAGAGACTGACTTACAAATTGGTCTGATGCTTCTTCCCCTGGGTATGTGCTAAGTAACTCCCCTGAAATAAAAAACAAGGCAGAAGAAAGTTAAATGAAGACAGGACTGTTCCTACACTGACAGATACTTGTCACAGAGGAGAGCTGATATCACAGGTTGACAAGGATATTTTAATCCATAGAAGAGAGGAATCTTACTCAAAAATTGCAGATTGCTCTCAACTGATGAACTGTCATAAACTGTCAGGCTTAACACACACAAGCCACCACCCACCCGTCACCTCTTCAGCAGTCAGTCACCAGGCACGTGCCAGGTTCTTGCACCTGAAGCTACTATTATTCTAAAATACCCGCTGCCGAGATCAAGACAGACAGCTGTGCAACTCACCTCGTTGTTGTGCAGCGTTAGGCAAAGCTTGCATTCATAAGAGCCCAAGTGATTTTTCATAAAATAAGGGTCCTAAGAAGAGAATTATTAAAAAGTTACAAGCAAACTACATGGCAAAACAACAGAATAATCAAAACACTAGCCAGCTTTTGCTGCACTGGAAGAACTGAGTTCGTAGGTTTAAATTAACAGCCTCACACTGCTTTAGGACTACGAAAACAGAGGGAAACAATAGCAGCTTTGTTAATGGGTGACAGCACACCCAACTGCAGGCAAGAAACGGCAAAATACGAACCAGACCCAAGACGACCAAAAATAACATAGTAACAGCTCCGCACCTCTCTGGTCAGCCCTGTCAGAGCTGTTTCTTGTTTGACTCCCACATTACCAGAAACAGAAGTATTTCGTTCCAATCCACAACTCTCCCCTAAGTCTCTCGCCCTCCAAGCCGTTTCACTCAGGCAAAGCTTCAGACTTATCCCCACAACAGTCTGGAGGACGGGAGCCCTGTGACTTTTCTTTCTTGCGCGCGCAGAGGCCAAGGCTCACCTTGTTGATGTCGATGGTTTCCAAAGCCAGCTGCCGGAGCCTCTCCCTGCGGTCTCGGTTACTTTCTGAGGCAGAGGCTACGCCTCCGCTTCCAGTTTTACCTCCAGGACGATGCTGAAAATCCATGATGGGGACTTGTGTGCTTCAGCTACTTAGGGAGAAAGAGAGAATCTGGGAAAATGAGGAAAAGCAATGTGAGAGATAACTAACGCTGTTCCTAACCTGGAGCTCAGAGCACTATTCAGACCCATCAGTCAGGACATGGGTCAGACACAACAAACCATGCCCTAGGCACTCGCCACGTGACACAATTTCAAACGGAGCAGGTCTTGTACCACTGACTCGGTAAGTTGAGTAGAAGTAAAACGATCCAAAATAACCAGCCCCAGAGCCCTTCCCATCTCCTCAGCCCCTTCTTCTATGCAGAGACGTATTCCTCCCCCCACATGCGCAGCTCCCCCGACCACGAGGCTCCCCAGGAGCCTCCAGCCCCCACCCTGATAGGGAACAGCCCCAGAACCTGCCGTGGGCCCAAGCCCCTCTCCG